ACGGAACCTTGTTGGAACAAGCTATCACACTAGGCTTTTCTGCTTCAAACAACGAGGCAGAATATGAGGCATTGCTTGCAGGACTACGCCTAGCGAAAGAACTGTCGATCAAGAAATTGGCCATCTACTCAGACTCCCAGCTGATCACGAATCAAGCCTCAGGCGAGTACATTGCAAAGCATCCAAGAATGGTCCAGTAACTCGACAAAGTCCAAGGACTTTTGAAGAATTCCCTATTTTCACCATCCAACAAGTTCTGCGGGCAAAGAACACTTATGCAAATGCGTTGACGAGCCTAGGATCAGCACTGGACACCCAGTTCAAACGCTCCATCCCAGTTCAAACGCTCCATCCCAGTTGAACACCTTGACCGGCCAAGCATCGAAGACATAAAGCCAATCGACTTAATGCAGATTGATGAGGACCCCAGCTGGCAAGACCCTATCATCGACTACTTAGTGAATGGAAACCTGCCAACGGATAAGTCCGAAGCTAGGAAGGTCCAGCAGAAGGCCGCGAGATACTATATGCACGACAACAAGCTCATCCGTAGATCATACTCCGGCCCTCATCTCACCTGCATAAAGTACCCTCAAACAGTTGAAGTCCTCTGTAAAATTCACGATGGCGAGTATGGCAACTACTTTGGAGGCATATCACTCGTCTAGAAGGCTTTAAGCAGCAATGTAGTCACACAGACATCAATACAAGTTCAAAGCTTTTCTTTCCAATGGAGTGTTCATAAAAGCAATCGACACGTCTCCGGACGAAGGCTAAACGGGCCACTATCATCGACATGTCTCTGGACGTAGGCCAAACGGGCCACTATCATCGACACGTCTCTGGACGTAGGCTAAACGAGTCACACACATCGACACGTCTCCGGACGTAGGCCAAATGGGCCACTATCATCGACATGTCTCCGGACGTAGGCCAAACGGGTCACTCTTATTAACACGTCTCCGGACGTAGACCAAACGAGTCACACTCATCGACACGTCTCTAGACGTAAGCCAAACGGGCCACTATCATCGACATGTCTCCGGATGTAGGCCAAACGAGCCACACACATCGACACGTCTTGGGACGTAGGCCAAACAGGCCACTATCATCGACACGTCTCCGGACGTAGGCCAAACGGGCCACACATCATCGACATGTCTCCGGACGTAGGCCAAATGGGCCACTATAATCGACACGTCTCTAGACGTAGGCCAAACGGGTCACTATCATTGACACGTCTCCGGACGTAGGCTAAACGGGCCACACATATCGACACATCTCCGGACGTAAGCCAAACGGGCCACTCTCATCTACACGTCTTCGGACGTAGGCTATACATGCCACAACCCAGCAGGCAGAACACTCCTCCTATCCTGCAGGCAGATCATCAGGATCCGGACCATTCTGCTTTCATCCCTCAACATTCTCGGCAGGGGGCAGACCATTGTCTTTCTCTCAATACTCGCTCAGCAGCAACTAGCGGCCACCGTCGCTCTAACCTTTTTCGACTGTCAGTCACGATGTCACGTCCTTGCCTCGAAAAAGAGAAGATGAAGAAAAATATACGTGCTCGACTTACCTTGGGATGCACAGCATCTTCTCTCTTCGACAAGCAGTACAAATTCTCCAAGATCTTTCTCAAGCTAGAAAGTAGAGAAGTTAAGTTTACAATGTAAAAAAGAGTGAAGAGAAGCCCTGTATTTGTACAAGTTGGACAACTCAGGTCAAGAAAGAATCGCAAGCTCATTCCTACTGGGAATCCAACTCCAAGAACAGTTAGAAGCCTATGCCAATTAGTAATCCGATCTACAAAAAAGCCCAGACACAGTTGGAGAGCCCGAAAAAATAATTTCATCTCCTACATGCCACACAAGCGCCATGCAGAAGCTGGGGGGCATTTGTGAGAGCAAATATTTCTGTCTCCAATCAGGGCACGCCACGTGGAAAAGAAGATTATCTCTTAAATTAATTAATTGAACCAGTTTATCTGGCCAATTAATTAATTGGGATAAATATCTTAATTAATGGGATATTATCTTTATTTAATAAGATAATACCATTAATTTAGATATTATCCTAATAAAGAGAAGATAATATCATTAATTCAGATATTATCCTAATAAAGAGAAGATAATATCATTAATTTAGATATTATATCTAAGTCCGACTTAATCTCTATGAATTTGGATAGACAATAAACTCAGCATATTCTCTATGAAACCCTAGCCCCGAGGCTCCTATAAATAGATGACCTCATTCATCATTCAATGTACATCTAAACCTACTTCTAATACCCGAGAAAAATACCCGAAGCTCTCTCTTTCTCCCTCTCCACTCTCCATATTTTCTCCACACGGCTCCGGCCACCACACACGGCTCCGGCCGCCCGGTTCACACCCTACATAAACACTACTCTGTACCCTTTGCTTAGCTATTGTTTTCCTACAAACACTCGAACTAACTTAGGCATCGGGGGGCCTTTGGCCAACACCCCCCGGGTGTGGTCCATTTACTCCAATCTGTTTTATAGGAATCGAGGAAGAGAGAGAAGGAAGATCGAAGTTTGAAGGATCTAGAAGCAAATATTCTCCCATGAGATTATTTGCACAAATAGCAATTTCCACAGTTGCCGACAAGCATACCTTAAGAATATTTTATCAATGCAATGAACAAGAAGGTGGCTGCCACCAATTAAGCCATCCATAAAGCTGATTGATATTGTCAATCACAACAGCAGATAGAGAATAATTATTGCTGCCAATCGAACACCATTTACATCTTTTCACTCCAGTAGCGATGGATTTCCAACAAATTTGACAAACTGAAAACATGTTTCTCACTCTCAAATGGGAAATAAATGTACTTTGGAGGTTTACATTATTTACAATGTGAATAACATATGTTGATGCGAAAAAATGGTTCGGTAACTTTCCCGCTCAACTTAATGATGTTGGGCCTTCGGTATGTTTTGGGCCTCAGTAGAGCATGATTTGCAAGATAGCAAACGCTCGGTAAGACCTAGGGCACCAGTGTGGTACCGGCCGAAGGCTCTCCGATGCTTAAGTAAGTACGGATTTAGTAAGCTTAAACTGACAGATTAATAGGCAGTATGCCGTAAGTTCTGATTACCTCCTTTTTGGGGAGTTGTGCTTCCTTTATAGACCTTGGGAGGTGTGCAAGTTGTGTAGAATTTCGATGTGGGACTGTAGATATCGATTGTGGACCTGCCACGTGTCCTGGAGAAAAAGGTTGCCCTAATTAGTTGAATCAGTAGGCTGGGTGCCGAAGGGTATCATGGTCACGCTCAATCTTGTCCATGTGTCTGGTTCCCATAGGCTGTTCATTTTGGTATAAACAACATACTCATGAGTAATTCATCTAGTGAATTTGACATAACTATCCAAGGATTTACCAAAAAATAAGTGTAGGCAGCACAGAATCAAATGACGTAATTTACCTACCCTAACAATGGTACCCAACAGCATAGAAAGCCAGATTCGCAAAAAAAATGTGAATTGGACATAACTATAATCCAAGAATATACTAAAATATGAAGCGTTTTATCATTAGTCTGAAGCATTTACATCAAAAACAACATATTAGGCGTAATTTTTTGTTCAGGCATGAAAATACAATTGGTTTGAAATATGCCTGACTAGCTTCAGCATTTGATTAGCCATACTCCTAAATTGGTGCTAAGAATCAAATGACTACGCATGAAAAAAAAAGAAGAAAAAAAAAGCATCAAGTAACTCCTTTAGTAGTAACACATATAAAAGAATGATACCCAACATCACATAATTGAAACACGTAATTTACCTACCCCTCAAGCATGACCCCGTCATGTACTCACCCATACCCATTTGTCGAAACTACTGGGACCTTATCTACTTACATCTCCTCTATGTATGGAAAAACAACATCAAAATTCACTTGTGCGCTCATAACTCATATTGGAATTTCGTCAAGCACTTGATGTGCACAACTTAAAATAGACCTGACTTTTTGCTGGAAAAACAACCGACTATGCAAGATAGAAAACAACATTTAGCAATGTGAAAATGAAAACATAACTGGAAAAAAAAAATTGAAACTGATTGCTACACAAATTTATACCAATCTAGATAATGAATGGTACTGATAAGAACACATGATTTGGGGTAGATGAAAATGCATAATTTGGGATAGATAGATGCAAAGTTGATAAGAAAAGAGACAATAACACATAAATTACATGTGTTATGCAGGCATACCACTCAAAGTTTAAGACATCAACACTGGAATCGTTCACAGTCAGTGTCGTCTTCGCTTTGTGACTAATTTGAAAAATTGAATGTACCTGTGGACCGTAATTTTGAATGGTAGAGACATTGGAGGGAATCTAACCTTAGCGAATATGTGGTTTTCAATGATGGACATGAAGCAAGGCTGAAATGGAGGTAAACTGTTTTGAAGAGAATGTAATAGTCGGACTGAGTGATCTTTTGTAACGATGTAAAAACATAGGAATATTATGACCTCTTATATCCTACGGGCATTTAAGTGTGAAATTGGGTTTAACATATAGATTTATAAAGTGATAGGTATATATATAGGAAATAGAAAATGTAAGAACTTATATTGGACAAGCCCTTGATTCAATTCCAATTCCTTAGTTCCCGACCTGTTAGGGAACTTACTTATGGTAGCCCTACTCTTTTAAAGACGCAATGCAAAGACAAAATAATTAGGTCTGTCTACCGTAGAAATTGTTGTGAGGAGCTCTATTCAATAATAAATAAGTGTCGACTTTCCTAACCAGTTTTTTTGGCACACATTAATTAGACGGAAATATTCCTTAGATTATTAATAGCTACTAGGTCGCGGAGATAGGAATAAAACATTTAAGGACCTAAAAACAAAGAGAAGGATTCGTAAGAGGGCCAACATAATATACTCCCTGTTTTGGTGAAAGGTAACTGGAGAAATCAAAGTTATTGGAGGTGGAGTGAAGCATAATGGAGTTTAGGGAGGAAGGAGAAGGAGAGCCAGTGAGCCCCACTGGCCAATACTTCAACAGTTCTATCTTATCTGTTGCAATTCTTGCAGTTTTGGAATTTGAGGTTCCAATCAATGATTCCCAAACTCTCTCTTTGCTTCAAGATGTCTTCCTCCCTATCAACCCTCGCTTCTCTTCTATCATGGTTTGTCCTCTCTCTCTCTCTAGATCTCTTCCTTTCTCTCTCTTGTCATTTTATTGGAAACCGAAACGATTTTCGCACTCTTATTTTGTTCATTAATTTTTCACTTCTCCTCTTGTTTTTATACTCTCGTTACCATTTGACATACTCAAATACTCGCAGACCGATAAAATGAGTGAAAACCACCACCTTACTGCAAAAAAAAAAAAAAAAAAAAAAACAGAACTAAAACTAAAAACTAAAGATTTGGTATTAACTATCTGAAATTATTGAACAGGTACGTGACAACCCAGATCAAAAGAAACAATGGAAGAGGGTTGAAGTGAAGCTTGAAGACCATGTTCATGTCCCCATTTTCCCTTCTAAAATGTCACAAGAATCCTATGATGAATATTTTGATGACTACATATCAAATATAGCAGCAGAAAAACTCCCACAAAACAGGCCATTATGGGAAATTCACATTCTCAAGTACCCAACAAGCCACGCAGCCGGTACCCTGATTTTCAAGCTTCACCATGCCCTAGGTGATGGCTACTCTCTAATGGGTGCTCTTCTTTCTTGTCTGCAAACTGCTCAAAACCCTTCTGTTCCTCTAACATTTCCTTCCCTGAAGAGCTCATCAGGACCAAAAACTACTCACATGACTAAAACTGTGTCTCAGTTTTTCTCTTCAGTTTTCCAAACTGTATCGGATTTCAGTTGGAGCATTTTGAAGAGCAATTTCGTAGAAGATGATCGAACTCCGATTAGGTCTGGGGAAGATGGAGTTGAGTTTCGGCCAATAACACTATCAACATTGACGTTCTCCATTGATGAAATCAAACTGATCAAGAACAAACTTGGAGTGGTAAGATTATGCACCAATATAATTTTTATTTATTTATTATAATGATTTCTATTTATATTAAACATACTACGACAAAAAAAACTGCTATGAATTATGAAATTATTTACCAGAAACAAGGATTACACAAATACGCAATACAAATAACTAAAAAGTTCGTAACTTACATTATATATATCAAAAGAAGTTTCAAAACTTTCATTATTATGAAAAGAAAAGATGCTCTCCCCGTAGGTTGTGGCCATAGTGCTCATTAGGCTTATGTGTTATATTAGAATTTCAGTTATTTTGGGTAATTTTGTGAACTTGACTTAAGATCATGCATAATTTTGGTAATGTGGGTTTGTGCGGCTTTTCACCCATTTTATTTTGGATGTTTGGGGCGGTGTACTTTGTTGCCCTTTTGTAAACATGGGTCGCCCTGTCAGAATTTTTCTAATGAAATTTGTTCTGATCAAAATTGGATTATTATTTGCATTCAAAACATTTATTTCCACACCCAATTGAGCTTTCTAGTTGTGCCCCAGCATAAATTCAAAATTCCCGACACAATTATTATTAATTTTAAAATAAAATAAGTCTTTTTCGGGGCAAAAATTACACATAATTAATCACATCCAACTTAATTTTACGGGCTAGCAATA